CAGTTTCCTCTCTGCAAAAATAAAAATGAAAAAAACTTTATGAGCGGTTTCTGTATTTGCCTCCGCCACCTTCCAACGTTCTGATGCTTGCATGGAAGCAGTTTTGCTCCTGGGGTTTTTTTTTAATCTAATTAAGCCCGGCTGCCAGGAACACAAGAACTGGGAAGTGGGTGAGCCATTTCCGCTGATGTGGAAGGCAGGCTACGGTACCTACCCAACTGAGAAGTGGCATTACTCGCACACCCGGGAGGCAATCACAACTGCCCTGGAATTACTTTTCCCGGTCTGTTAAAAGAATCCAGCAAAGGAGGGATTGATCAGAACTCTGCCCCATGGCACGTCCACCCCCTGACAGCATTATCAGATCCCTGGGGAGTTCATCTTGCAACATCTGAAACCACCTTTGGAAGACCTGTCAAGGCAGGGCTGGTGGAAATCCAACTCTCCTGGATTTCCATGGAATTTGTCTGGTTCTGGAAGAGTGCCTTGTGTGAATTTGGCCACTGTGGTTTCCAAACGGTGCTTTTTTTTTTTTTAAAGTAACAATAAAACTTAGCATTCTGCATTAATGCAGATAATGGTGGTTCAGTCGAGTAAACCATGGATTAGCACAACATGTGAACCTAGACAATTTTTATCTTAACTGGTTGGCAAGCTTTCAGGGCAAAGAAGATCTTTCCATCGCCTGTTCTCCATTCTCCAAATTTTTGATTGATTATGTGCCGTCAAGTGATTTTTGACTTAGCGATCACATAGATAGATTTTCTCCAAGATGATGGATCCCTAACCTGGTCTTTCACCTCTCCCAATGGTGCACTCATCATCTCTGTAACTGAGTCCAACCCCTTTGCTGCTGGTCGTCCTCTTCTTCTCTTTCCTTCCACTTTTCCCACCATCAGAGTTCTGCAGAGAGCTGGGTCTACATATAATTGTGTCCGAAGTAGGATCAGTTGAGCCTGATCATTAGTGCCTCGAGTGAGAACTCTGGGGTTATCTGTTGTATGATCCATAGGTTTGTTTTCTTGGCCATTCATGGGATTCTCAGGAGTCTTCTCCAACACTAAAGTTCAAAAGCGTCAAACTCTTCCTATCCTGCTTCTTTAAAGTCCAACTTTCGCTTCCATAGAGGGTCACAGGGAAGACCACGCCTTGTACAATTCTGATCTTTGTAAGTAGAGACACATGCTGGCATCTGAATATCTTTTCCAAGGCCTTCATGGCTGCTCTGCCAAGTGTTAATCTACGGCATATTTCTTGACTGCTTGTTCCTTTACTGTTGATGGTTGATCCTAAAAGGCAGAAGCTATCCACCACTTCGATATCTTCACTGTCAATTCTAAGGCTGGTTGTTCTACCTGTTGTCATTAATTTGCTCTTCTTTATATTTAATTTAATCTCCAAATCAGAGATGCCAAAACTGGAGTTTTTCTATTTGTCAGGGCTGCAGTTTGGTGTCCTTCTCGGTTCAGCTCAGAAAACAAGAGATGCAGGAGTAGGAAGGAACCTTCACTGTCTTTTCCCTTCCTCCATGAATTACGAAGCCTGAATACATTATGCAAAATACAGGGAATCAATTAGCATAACTCAGACATGCTTACAGCCTTGTGTATTTGCTTTTGGTGCATTGGCCTGAATAGAGAATTTCAAAATAATAATAATAATAATAATAATAATAATAATAATGATGATGATGATGATGATGATGATGATGATGAATGTGAAGCACCCCCAAAGTCCTGGGAGGTGATTTGCCAAGCATGTGGAATCCAACTGGCAACTTTCTGCCCTCATCCTAGTTAGATTAATCTCTCTGCTGAATAAAGGAGACAAAGTAAGAACATGACCCACCTTCGTCTATTGCATCCCCGGGGCCAAGATCACATCTCTAAGACAAGCTGAGGAAAGAAAAACAAAACTTCAAACTAAACTGCTCAAACTAAACCCCAGAAACAAAGAGGTACCTGAACCTGAATGGGTAATCAACGTGTCCAGCCGACCACCATCCACTGCAGAACACAAAATCCCCCAGAAAGGCCTCACCTCTAACATGGACGATGCTAATCAGCTAGGATTCTGTGCAGCCTTAGAAGCAGCATTTAAAACTACAAGACTTAACACAGAGTCCCAAGAAAACATAAGGCAGACCATCATACGACAGACCAGAAGAAGACAGAATCAGAATCAACTCAAAGCAGGGGACAGAGCAGCCCTCAAAAGCCTAAGGAAGGACCAAACCATCCTCCTCCTCCCAGCAGACAAAGGCCGAACCACAGTTATGATGGACAAATCACAATACTTGCAAAAAGCCAAAAAATTATTAGAGGACAAAGAATCCTACATCCCAGTTAACACAAACCCAATACAGCAACTCGACAACCTAATCAAGAGAACCCTTGGCGACCTAACCAAGAAAGGCCAGATCACAAAAGAAGAACAGTGGCGGATGAAAAGCAGTGGACCCATCCTCCCATGTTTCTATGGACAACCAAAAATATACAAGCCCGACATACCTCTCTGACCAATTGTATCTTTACCAGGGACTCATGCATACACCATAGCGAAAGAATTGACAAAAAAGCTTGGCCATCTCACAGAGAAGAGTGAATATTCTATCAACTCCTCACTACAGTGCCTCCAGAAAATCAAAGATGTACACATAGATGAAGATGAAATGATGGTCTCATCTGATGTCACAGCACTCTTTACATCCATAAACCCAGAACTAGCAAAAGAATCCATATCAGCTGTACTACACAACACACCCAACCTAACCAAATACACCGAGATCGAAATACCCAGAATCATGGACCTCATCAACCTCTGCCTCACTGCTTATGTTCAGTTTGATGGACAAATATACCAACAAATCAGAGGCACACCCGTGGGATCCCCACTGTCAGGACCCATAGCAGAGATTGTAATGCAATGCCTAGAAGCTACAGCACTTCCACACATACAACCTAAAGTGTGGATCTGGCATGTAGATGACGCCTTTGTCATAATAAAAAAGGAACAACTAGAGAAGACACATGAAACCATCAACC